TTCTTAATGGGAAATTACAATGAGGATGAAACTATGGTAGAAAAACAGATGGCCAAAGCAATGAAAGTAGTAATACACAGGAAAAGGAAGGTAGTTGGGGTCAAGGATGAAGTCAGCATTGCAGACAAGGGAGGCAACTATTAGGTCAGAATAAAACAGAACAAAAGAAGAGAACAGGCAGCGTATGTATAATATATGTGATAGGACCCAATTCTGCCCTACCTTACACTGGTGCAACTTCTTTGGCTGAATCCTTTTAGCACAATGTCACTTTCAATATGATCTAACAACATGCATGCAAGCTTGCTTCCCCTTTTTTTTTTTTTTCTTTAATCAGTGCATAGAGCTAAGTTTTCGTTGTCTTAAACTGTTTCTAGGCAATTACAATTTTGTTTTTCCACTGTTGTTACTTTTGTGGACCTTTTAGATATTGCAGATTTCTTCTGTGCATCTTCCATGAGCAAACGTTTATCTGTTTCAAATCTGTGTTCTGCTTCAGCGAAATTAAATTGTTTAAGTTAAAGATCATTTGGGGAAAACAAGACTCTTGCTTGACTAGTGTATTTTTTTAATACATTTTTAAAATCTGAATTCTAGGCACATTCTACCTATTGATCCTCATTTAAAACTACTTAGGTGTTGGGTTTTATTTTGTTTCGCTTTTTTTACATTGTCAGTATTCCTGTTTTCCATGTTTTGGCATCAGTGGTGCAAAAAGGAGCAAAGAGGAAAATCCTCCCCCAGAACAAGTAAGCAGAAAAACAGACTTGGCTTGAAACCCTTTTTTATTGCATCTTTTATGCTTCCAGCACTTATATTATTTTTTAAGTTCTAACCCCCAGGGAACTTTGCCTCTAACCTCTGGAATTTAAAAAATAAAAATCAACCTCTAAAACCTGCCAACTCCTTTTCTTTCCCCAAAACTCCAGGCTTCTGCTCCTCTCCTTACACATTTATCTCATGTTACTTTAGTATTATGGGCAATACTGTATTTACTGCTTGTTTATATCACCATAACAGAAGTAGCGTTAAACCCTGAGTTCACCGATTAATGAAAAGTAACACCAGTATACTTGTTGTTTTCCACTTGTCTACTGCGCTTCCAGTTCTGAAGAGCTACCCATGCAAGAACATGAAAGAGTTGCAGCTCCTAAGAAAACTGTTTTATAGCACTACACAGAGGAACAAAGAAATACACACAAAGAAAGCTGCGCTGTACGTCACTCCAGCAGGCCTGGCTGAGGTGAGCTGAATCCCAGCAGGCTGGGAAGCGCTCGTGAGCCCCCAGCAGACAGCAGCACTGGGGCCCGGAGACCAAAGCAGCCCATCAAAGATAAGAATTTCATACTGAAAGGAAAGTAATACATATATCACTTAAGGCATCTAGCTTAAAATATTAAAAAGGAGGACAGAACTATGGAAAGAGGAGTTCTTTTAGAAAATTGCCTGTGGACTGTATTTTAATGTTCTGAAGCTGCTCCCTGCAGCTATTTTATACAATACCCAGTTTTCTCGAGTTTCAGAAGTACTAATGATTCAATGGATGCAGAATCACAGAAAGCTCCTGAACTCAGCTTATGCTTCCCTCCACTGCCTTGAAGTCCTATTTCCAGCCAGTGTTTTAGAACTAGACAGCTTTGCAAGAGGGTAAAAATCCCTTAGCAGTATTAACTGTTAACTTCTTTGAAAGGAGTTCATTTTAAGCCAAATTGGATGTGTGTGATAGAAATATTGTTTTTTTCTAAGAACTGCTAGATTATTAACCTAAAAGCTTGCTTTAATGCAATGATCATAGTAATGAAATGCAGTACCTCCTTTGGTGTTTAGTATCAGTTTTTTTTCGCTCTATTCTCCAATATTTCTGTAGATATTTCATGTGGGTTTTGATGTTTAAAACAGCAGTCATTTGAAATGTCGTGAATACACAACAGAAATTTGGTAAGTAGCAAGCCCCACTCCCCAGTTTAATAGGGGGATAGTGCTTTTTTAATCCTGTCCAAACACATGGCCAACAGTTTTTTCTATAATGTCAAAATATGATATAAAATACCATTTCATGCGAATTTCAACTACCTGTGGCTTCAGGAATAGATGCTGCATGCTCTCTAGCTGTAGAAATCATCATGGTAAAAAGATGGCTTTTTATATGACTGGAATATATAAATATATATATAACTGCCAGGATTTCCACTATGAAACTGAAACTAGGAAAACTGTAGATGTTGCAAAAATATAAAATGAAATCAAGAAGAGAATTCTGCACCTTCAAAATCTCATTTGAATATCTTTCTTTTTCCTACAAGATTCTTGTGAATGAGTTAGAAATCACTAAAATGCTTTTGAAGCAAAGCCATGCTCTGTTGAAATTTCACCATAATCAGAATGTTCGGCTTCTTTGCCCAAGGTTTTGATGGAAAGTCATGAAACAGCTGAAGTATTTTAAAAGCAAAACAGTCTGAGGTATCTGAATTTTACCAGGATGATAACTCTCTTTTCTGACCAACTCTAGGTGGAAACATGCTTCTTATTCCTCCGTTCCTCTGTTTTAATGTGAGTCAGGGTTTTGCTGATCTTGGTATTTCACTAGCTCTTACTTACCTGTCCTCTTGGTCTGGATGCCCGCTCCAGGAGTCTCTCAGCCACTCTCAGAGCCCTTCCCTATGGCCTTCCTTTTTTCTCTTTCTTCTGTTGAGTAAATCTCCTTCACTGATCTGATGTCCGCTGTTTTACTGCGCAGTTGTTATTGTTGTATTATTACTGATACATCTTGCCTTCATCACAATAATTGCCTCGTCTCTCTTTACTTTCCTATGGCATTCCTGAAAGCAGTAGCTAGACGTGAGCAGCAGAGCTGTCAGATGCAGTTTGCTGATAGGCAACACCATAAATAAGTGCTTTAAAATTTTATCAGCACCAGCCTTATGCCTTAACACTTTAGTGCATTTCTTTCTCGCACTCAATTTTTTTTTTAATGACTATTATTTCTAATGGCTAATGTAGGTTTATGTAAGTTCACTCTTAAGTTCCTGAAGATCTCTATTCTATGCCTTATGTGCTGGTGATTAAGATTCTTCCCTGTGATATGTAGTAGCTTGGAGGAATAGCTTAACACTGTGTTGTATTTATTTTTATTTTATTTTTTTAGAGGAGATTTATCCTAGTGCTTTGTTCTCCCTGGTACTCCTGCTGTTGCCACTTCTACTGCCTAAGGAAATATTTCTGTCTTAAATCCCTCCACTTCCAAAGTCAATATACAGACCATGAATACAGTCCAAAGGTCACGCTTTGGAGAAAACAAGAAAGAGTGGAGGGAAAAGGAAGAGTTGTTTTAAAAAGGTGGTGACTTGGTGAAATTTTCTGAGTTTTTACACACAGGAGCTCATGTTGGAGATGAACGTGGCCTCCTTGGTCTTAGAATTCTGGCTTCACAAAAGTGAAGAGAAAAACAAGATAAAACAACATGATGGTGACAATGATAGATTTTCTTTTTATATATAGGTTGGCAGTGCTGCAACAGCAGTTTACCTGATCTTTTTAATTTTTGTAAGTTAGTATGAGTTGCAAAAACATTTTGTTAAGGTGGAAGTTCTTAATATTCAATTTCTTTCATGATATATTAAATAGTTTTTAAAGTTACATAGAATCTGCTCCTGAAATTTAGAGTTATTAGAATGGGATTAAATTTTCCACTCTTAAATATTGATTTGACTCTTTGTTTCTCCTTGCAAATGTGAACCAAATGTCAGTGATGTCACTAGACCTACTTTGCTTAATTACAGTGGGTATCTGGTTGGGCTCTTTTGCATGAATTAAATATTTGGACAAGTGAGCACAAGACTGTATTCTCTTGTAGCTTAGGGGAATGCTGTGGTTTGGCTGGAGGAGTCTCCCAATCCTCAGGTGACTTTCCTAAGCCATGCAGTCATGCTTCCACATACACATTCTTTCTACATAAGGTTTAATTATTCCATACCATTTTGGGTAGTTTTACCACAAAGAGATGAGGCAAACCTGGACCACAAAACCTAGTAACTGAATGCTTAAGAATTCTCACTCAAAGTGGGAGATGTGTATTGAAGTTGCTTCACACAAAAGGAAGAATTCTTCAGTGAGCGCTGTAGTAACAATGTTGTTTGGAAAAAATGGGAATGGAGAAAACTACTGTGCTTTGTAGGAACTCGTTTGTTTCTGTAAGTTCCCAAATCTTCCCCAGAATCGAAAGCTAGGGCTTTCAATTTTCAGTAGATGATTCCAATAGAAATCACATAAAACACATTCAGAAGAAGGCTGACAAAGCTGTCAGCATGGAGTGTTATGACATCCTCTGTTCTTCTGTAGTTACAGCCCTCAATCCACTGACCATTTCATCTTCATTTAAATATTTCCCCTTCTTTGTATCTTAAAAAAAAAATAATAATAGTAGATTATATAACTTGAATTAAGAAGTGTCAGGACTGATTAGTGACTACCTGGACTAAATATGCAAATTGCAAAGTTTTCTTCATGGTTTTATATATGAAGATGTTTTAAAAACTTTATCAATGTCAATGTGTCAGCCTGCATTTCTCTGTAAAATCTTGAAACTGCTCTTTCATCTATGTTGTAAACACATCAACAAGTATGTAGAATGTCTTGACTTTGAAATGCTGTCACCTACTTTCTGTATCGTTGTCAGTAGTCAGCTTGTTATAAAAGTGTTTCATTTCTAGCTCTGTTTCTTTTGGTAGTGTGTCGACATACTGCATTTTTCAACAGTGTTCTTTGCTGCCTCTTCCATTTTTATCAATAAATGTAGTTTGACAGAAGTTCTCTTTCTTTGCAACATGTTGATATCTCTGGCTCTCCACTGTCACCGAAGCTGTTCTGTTACTTTGAGGCTAAGCTGAGTGCATGTGAACCATCTTCAACATTTTGTGCCAAAGTACAGAGGGAATTTGAACTCAAAGGTTTCTGTGATGGTGAGAAATCCCTAAGCTTCAGTCACTGCCTTTACTTTTCAGTTGGAACTTTCCCAGAACATGTTCAGTTTGATGCAATACCTGTTCCTGACGTCCTGCAATATGCGGTCTGCACTTTGCTTGGAATAAATGCATCTGGTGATGGACAGTTTCTTAAATGTGAGTGTATTCAGGCTTTTAATTCTGCTGCTTCTCATATAACCTTATTTTTTTCAGAAGATGATGTGTCAGAACTGGTAAAGTGGCCTCAACTGCCATAGCTTAAAGCTGAATTATCTGTACAGTTTATTGCATAGCAGAATGTAAGACACTATCTTTACATTTTGAATTACACTTATTTCAAAAAGATTTTCAAACCAAATATACATCATTGAAATTTAAATAGGTATACATTTGGTTAAACTGGGAAAAATATCCTGTTCAAATGATTTCAAGACTTTTGCAATAGATATGTAGAAGAAAGTCAGTGAGAAACAATAGCTATGATGTATTCTATGTAATAGATGCTTTAATATTAGATACTTACACCATTCTTGTGTGCGCTAGAATGTCAACCTCTTTTTGTATTTACAGCAGTATGGTTTCCTCACACCTTTCAAAGGCCCACATCGTGACAGTTCATGCATGAACTCTTTCCCACTCTATCAGTATAGATTACATTCTTGATAACTAACATATCATAAAGAACTATCTTCTAGTTACAGTTTGTTTCAAAACCAGGCTGACATGGAACAGAGATCAAACAAAATCTGTATACACGGACCTAGTTTGAAAAAGCTAAGGATCTGTAGTGCGTTCTGATGACATACTCTGCAGAAACTTAATTGGCACATTGTTGGTGTCTAACTTAAAATGCGCTGCACAGCTACAGTACAGAAGATTATTAGAAATAACTGAGTAAGCAGACTGTCATCTCAGGAAAGATGGTAAGAACTATCAGAATTATCTTGAATACACATGTGTCTTTGACCTGACTACGTCAAGCTGTTAATCATACAGGCTGGATGCATTTCACGTTATACACACATCACGTTGATTCTTTAAACACAGTCTGTATGTTTCAGGAACTTAATCAAAATGAGTTTACTTAGGGAATGGGATCAAGGAAGGAAGGGAGTGAGTAGAAACACCTTCTCTAGAAATCTTTGTGTTTATTTTCAGAAGGCAATGGAGTGTGGATGAATATCTTGAAGAGGTCAGTAGCTACTTCCTTTTTTTTTTTCCCCCCCTAGAGGAAATGGAATGGACACAGATTCACAAGCATATTTTTTCAAGAGAAAGAATCAGACATAGATGGCTAAGTGGCCAGAATGTCACACTGAAGATGGAGGTCTCCTTACCTCTAGTCTGTTCCAGATGCTATTATATGTCAAACTAAAAAAAAAAAAAAATCTCATTAAACAGAAACTCACGTGATAAATAAAAATGTCATATGGAAAAACAAAATATGTATTCATCTTTTATTAGAGTCATATTTTCAAAACTGTTTCTTTAACACTGACAAATATCTCAGTGATGTTAAAATGTCTGTATGAGCAACTTTTCCAAGGTAAGATCTTATTTTCCTGCATATCCTGACTGACTTTGTGGACTTCTTTCCATAGTGCTTGGGTTGGGTTTTTTTGCCAGTTTAATTAGCAGCTGCAAGTTAGCAAGCTTTTGGTTATAATCTGAACTCAGTTAACTGTTCTGCAGGTGGTGTTTGGGGATTTATGTGTAGAACTAAAGATTTGGAAGACTGGACGTAATTTTCAAAATTCTCCTTTATCTGGTGATTTGGATTGATCTTTGAAGATTGCTCTGTTTGTTTTCATTACTGAAGCAGGAAATTCATAAACAGTTCACACTACTTCAAAACACGAGCAAAACAGGCTATTTTGCAGGGAACCAGTTTGATAAAATTACATTTTAGTGTGAATAGGTTCACACTGCAAAAATCAAACATGACTTAAGTTTTGTGCAGGAACAGGAATCTTACTGTGGAACTTAAGAGTATTCATGATGTTATTTTTGTTGAAAGTGCTTCTGTTTTTTACAAATGATAAAATTATTCCAGAAGGAGAATCTGTGCATTTTATAATACATTAGAGAAAAAGAAGAAATGTATAGATGTATTACTTCCCAGGGTCTGGTCTTCTGAGTCATTCTTCCGAATGGAGTACCATAGTCTCCAGTGCAAAACAAGAAATGCTGACACGATTTTGTCACAGTGAACAAACCATCAGAGAATTCAGCATCCAGATGTTACATGGATCAATATATCATTGATCCACAACAATTTAAAGCAAGAGGGTAATAAATTGAGTTTTTTATACTTTTTGCTTCTATTAAGCTTTGAGTACAACAAATTTTTCTAGTCTCCATCCTCTCATTTAAAAAAGAAAAAAGATTGTCAGAAATGACAAGATGAAAATAGCAGGTTTTTTTCCAAAACAGGGTTGCAGATGCAAATAAAGCTAAAAATTGTTATTTATTAAAAATCTGAATCCACCCAGACTTTATCAATGGGAGATTCCATATATGTTAATGGAAGCAGCAATAAGTTGCCTCCTAGGGAGTGCACTCTGATGAAACAAATGCTCCCACAGCACTGATCTCATTTTATTTCCTCTGTCTGTATCTCATGTTATCAGCTGAGCCTACAGGTTAAACATACAGAAACTACAGAGTATCAGCTGTGTGAACCATAAGATCTATTCTCAATATTATCTCTTCTATGTGCAAAATTGCTACTCTCTAAATACTGAGTGATATAAAATGACATTTGTACATGATGAGATTTGTTCAGGGTGGAGTTCTAAATATGGAATGTGGTTCTTTTGTTAATTAGAAGTAAGATACAAATACTATACATAATAAAAACAGTCCTTGGTGACTAGTCTGTTTGACAGGTTTTGTAGGAGCGCTTCATGTCTGAAAAAATGTATGGATGAGAAGGTGAAAACAGGGACCGAAGGTAAAGAAGTACAGGAATAAAAAATGTTTTACCCAACTCATCATGAAAAACCATATGCTAAATATATTTAGCCACATAAAAATCAAAGTTCAAGACCTACGCTTCCTGGGAAAGCATATGTTAGGGGCAAGGCGCTAACAGCCTGCTCACTGGGACCCAGGGGAGCAGCGCCGTGTATCGGTCTGGGAGATCCCCTCTGGCTGACATGCATGGCAGCACTGCCAGCTTCCAGGGGAAGCTGCGTTTATCTCTCTTAAGACCCAATCTTGCAAACACTTATGCACATGAGTAACTTTAGTTTCCGTGAGTCAAGTTACTTACATGTTTAAGTTTCTGCAGGGGTGCAACAACAGGGCCATGTAAGTGCTAGTCAGCAGGACAAAACAGAAGAAATTCACCCCTGCTTTTCCTCAACAAGGCAACGTAGTTTGTGCTATAATTTTATTTCCTGGTTTTGACTGAAAAGAATGTTACAACTGCAGATATGTTTTAAATTCTCGAATTTTACTATAATTTCTTTAATAAATTAATCATTGCCACAATCTCAAGCACATGGTACAAAACCATGTGGTTTGTATGTGATTTTAAGACCGTTTGGTATTTCACAGTGATTTGTTATGAGGTGAGGCACTCTTTAGAGACCAGTGTTTATGCTGTCACATCTCTGAAGTTGTGGATAAAGCTGGACAAAGAAAACTAAGATAGGATACTGGCAACTGTCATTCTTAGGTCCCGTGGTTTTTCTGCTTTTAATTTGTTCTTAATTGATCTGTTCACTTTGTAAGTTCTGGAGAAAACTGATGCTTCTAACAAATTTGTGTTTAGTGTGAGGATTACTCTGTTATCATACGGATCACTGACCAATGTCTGGTGTTCATGATTTTTTTTAGTTGCATTGCTCCGGAATATGGAGGTTTATGGCTTAGCATGTATCTCTATGAGCTGGAAAGACTCAAAGCATATGGCAGATCAGATGTTAGGCTTGAGGGAAATCAAAAATTAAACTGTCTCAGAGCTGTTGAGAGACTGCTTTGCTATATATTTTATGTGATTTGTGTATGTGTGTTGAGGGAGATGTCACCTAGGGAAGGGAATCGAAGAAAAAATAGCTTTAAAAAATGAACTGTTTGTATTATCGCTTTAAACTTTTAAAGTCTGGTCAGCTAAAAGCAGATGTTGTGAACTAAGATGGAAACTTGCCTGAGGCCAGAATTGAAGAAGGCATTCTCTAATAGTAAGAAGTAAAAATGTTTTCTGGTTTCAGAATTTATTGTAAGAATACAATGAGTAGTCCTCAAAAACGTCCCCATTATTATATAAACTAGTGAATAATATTGGTGGTTTCAGAATTTAATTTCAGACAACGCGTTCATCAGCAATCCTGTTTGTATTCTAAGATGTTTATCATAAAATCTTTTGTTACTCTGTGCTGGCCAAAATCCTGTCATGTTGGAAGTAGGAACTAAGTGTTTCTTGCCCTTGGCTCTTTGCCCAGTCATTAGATGGGAGGTGGATGAAAGCATCTACACATGGTGCCAGTTTTGGAATACTGTAATATTAAAGAGTTTTGATGTGAGTTAAATAATCGGCAATTAGAAGTAATAATAAAGGGGGGAAAAAACTCCTATACGAAGAATTGTAAAAACGAATATAACCTTTCCTGCACCCTTTCAATTGACCAGGGCTTCCACGGCCCTCGAGAATATGCATCCGTAAACGATGTCTACAAATTTGAAATCGAAAGTTAAAAGTTAATATTTTCAAGAAAGTGAAACAAAAAAGTTTCTTAAATAAAAATTATTTATGTTAAAATCAATCAATATTTGAGAAAAATCTTACGTCTCCTTTTCATCTATTTATGTATGAGGAAATACATATTTACAGTCGCTGCCTCTATAGTATTTGTTGAATGGCACGAAGCTTTGAACCAGCTCAAAACTGAGTCTTTCTGAGACAGTTCTGCAATTTATTTTAAATTTATTTCTTTGGAAGCTGTGCTCTAACAGCAAGTCCTGAACTGTAAGCTGCAGCGTGTGTGGGGGAGAATAGCAACCCACTTCTGCGTTTCACAAATCCTTTACGTTGTACTGGTTCAGTGCATGTAATCTGTCTGAGGCACCTTTGCTGCTCTAATGCAGCAGCAATAATATATCTACACAATTTTTCAGAAATCCACTAGAAAATATTTTAAAGAACAGTATTTTCAGTGTATTCATTACTCCCTCCTGTAGGAACCCTTTTAACAATGCAGTAGCACGATGCAGAAATCAGCCTCCTATGCTGATTTGTGTCAGGGTAAAAACTAGTGAGGGCTTCCCGGCAAGGTAATACTTTCAGGTAAGTCCGTGTTTGGCCAAGCCCTAAATCTGGCACCCGCAGCGCGGACGCGCGCACAGGGTTTTGACCGCAGCGGGCTGAGGGGAAGCGAGCGCGCTCCATCACCGCTTCGTCCTCTCCGCCGCCGCCATTTTGTGCGGGGGTGACGGGAGGCGCGCTGATTGCTTCGCCCTCCTCAGCCCAGGGAGAAGAGCAGAGGGAGCCCTCGGGCTTGTGGGAGCGGGGAATGAGCGCTGGCAGGTGGGGATGACCCCTGCTTCCAGCCCAAGCGCACGTCTCCACGGCTAGGAGCGAGCACGAACGTTTGTTTAGGTCGGCGTCCCTGGAGGTGGGGACCTTCCGTTGGCGCCCCCTGGAGAATTCACTGAGGTGAAGGCAGCCGGCCGAGGCGGGCGGTGGGGCTTACGGGGAAATAAAGAGCAAAGCAGCTTCAAAACAGAAGAAAATCCCACGTGTCTGTAGAAAACTGTTTTTTTGAGCTGAAACAGAAAAAGGTCTTTGCTTACAGGAGTTGGCACGTGTCCCTTTGTCAGTGAATCAATATTTGGCGGTGCTCCTGCAGACACATGCACATCTTTGTTTTGCCATCTTGAGTATGTTTTCCCTGTGCTAACCAACAGCATTAAGTGTTGAGGCCTTCTTGGTTTTTATTTTTATTTTTATTTTTTTTTCCCCCCACATAAGAATCTGGGACAGTTTTCACAATTTCTTGGCTCAGGATTCTTCCTGAAGGGCAGGCAGTGGGCAGATGTGCAAATACAGCACCACATAAAGGAGCGTTGAGTCAGGGTTTTCTCCTCGACATGTGTCATTTTAAGTCACTAAGCAATTGGAATTAACAGAGCCAGTCAAAGAACGAAGGCTGTGTAGAGAGGGAGCCTGGAGCACCTAAGAGTTTAAATATTGCGAATAACAAAGACTACTCAAGGGTGGGAAGTATAAAGAAAAAATGTTCAGATGGTGTTGCACAACTCTGGCTTGCACATTCTGTGCTTCATGTGTGAAAAACATTTTATACTGCTGAACAGTGTTTGCAGCTCCTTGGAGCTGATGGAGAGGTGCTCATTTCTTCAGTGGCCCTTCACTGATTGAATGCAGCTTGGTGGCACTGATGGAAGCTTTCTGCTCCCTTTCTGATACCCAAAGAGACAACTCCTGCTTTCAATTATTGGCATTGCATATGCCATATAATGGTGGCAAAATTAGCCTGTCTTGTTAGATTAGTATGATTTCTAATGCTGCTGCTGCTGGGAGAAATTGCATAAGCTGGTGTTGGAGAATGACAGAGGTTTGCAGAAGTGTTGCAGATTTGCACTGGAAAGGAATGCAGTGGGGGCATTGACAGGTTTCTTGTTTGAAATTCTGGAATCTAAATCACTGTAGTTACAGTTATGATTATAGATTCAATATTCTGCTCATATTATGAAATGTTTTCTGTTTTAAATTTGAAAGATTCTTATGGAGTATTTGAAGTTCTTCTGTGGAAGAAAAATATATCTTTTTAATTTACATTCACAAGTGACAGTACACAGTAATTAAGTGAACCTGAATTCTATTTGCAAAGCATTCTAAGGTTTTTTTTTTGTTGTTGTTTTTAAATTTATTTATTTTTATGGTACTATAATGAGATGCTGGAGCAAAAAAGAACCAACAAAAATCATCATCTTTATTTTGTCTTTATAGGCAAAGAGATATATTTGCTTTGTTATTTTATTATCAGTGTTGTCTTAAATTGGCATTTCTAAATCGTTGAAGTTGCTTTGCTATTTTACTAAGTATAAGTGAACCTAAGGTTTTGACTCGTAAGATCATTTCTGTGCTATTCTTCTAGTGAGATCTTTGCTTTTTCAGTCCATTCTTAAGCAAAATAAAGAGCTATGGAACTTTTCAACACAACATGTAAACATAGTCTAGTGCCTAGAGGTGGTACTAACAGAATGATACTTTTATTAATGTGTGTTTTAAAAACTGATACAATAGAAATAAGCTGTGATCCTGCAGTTTCCTAACAAATCTTATTAAGGAATTGGGCCCACAGTCCAATTATCCACGTAAGTCATTTGCTTATAAGTGAAAAAGAAGTCTGATTCACTTGTGAATTAATATATGTATACTTAAAATAATAGAGCCATTCATTTATTTTGTAAAATTGACAGTCCGTTCCAGTGGTAAATGTTGTATTTTTTTCCATCAAAATGGAATCAGTCTGAGAAACGAACGAGTCTGCAAACGTCTAAACAAATTTCAGCATTAGTTTTAAAAATGAGTTAGAGAAAGCTCTATCTGGATTGGCAGTATTAACCAGTTATTTCCTATTGTTTGAAGTACTGTCCTAAAGGATGTTTTGGTCATAGTTAATAGAATCTATATTATTCATGAGGGAGATACTCTTTATGAAGCCTCATTAAGGGTTCAGACAAGATCTCTAAAAGCAAAAGTAAATCTAGAGATGAAATATTGGCACATGTATCTCTGATGAAATGCATGTTCCTTGTATAGGTCCAGTTCTAGAAATCTAATTTCAGTTACTTGTACTACCTTTTACAGATCTAGAGATTAACATTCAATCTAAAAATGTTCAGCTCTGCAGACGAGGTTTTTTCATTGGATAATTTATTTTATGAAAGACCAGATACAAAAAAAAGGTAAATATTTACTGTTAAATACATATAATTGTTTCCCAAGTATTTCCAGACTGTGAGTCGTTTAACAGCAGATTTCTTAAATGTAACTTCCATTTCCACTTCTTAATAGAAATCTGAGGCTAGAAATGTCATGGTTCCAGCAACTTGTACTTTCAAATATTTTTCTCAGTATAGCCAACAAGATTTGGATAATGCAGGTGTATCTTCCAGTGTAAGAAGAATTTAGCTGAATTTTTGCCTCTTAAATTTACTGTGATTAAAAATTACACGAATTAAAAAGTTTTTTAGCAGTAGAAATAGGATGTTATGAGTAGTTGTTCTAATCTAGGTGTTGCAGAGGGTGCTTTAAGAATGCTTTTTCCTTGCGTTTTTTATGATAGAGATCTAGAAAATAACAAATCAAACATTTGGTGGATTGCACCTGCTCCAGCAATTGATGAAATTCCATCTGCAGAGGAGTTACAGAGGGAACTTGAAAAAAACACAGCCAGCAGTTGCATGGGTAAAATATTTGGCATTCCTTTTAAATGACTTTACAAATAATTAGCTTGACAAACAATTCCTCCTCTTTCTTTTAATGCTGTGAATTACTGAGTATTCTATGTATGCAAATGCAAACGTATTTTGGTCCAGAGGAATGATCCTGGTTATAGAAAAGGTTTGTCCTAGTGGCAGTTCTCTTTGTGCATGTATAGCCTGCAAGTTCACTGTGCAGAAGTGGGTGATGGAAGGAGTAAGCTATTTTGTTTTGTGTTATGGTGCTTCATGGAATAGTGGGAAGCAACTGCAAGAATAATGCAGCATGTGAAACTGATGACCTTCTCCCACCCAAGACACAGAGTTTATATGAATCTAACTTTTTTTCCCCCTTTTATTTTCCTTTTTTTCTTTTCTTGCCGTCCTCTCTCTCTCCCTCCTCTTTTATTTTCCCACACTCATGCTCAGAAGTCTAAACAAGTAAATACATAAATTAGAACCTGCTCATTGTTGTTAAAGGATTAGCAGGTCAAAGTGAAGGCTGTGTAATACAGCTATCCTTTAATCTTTTTGCATCCAATTGCTCATTTCTGCTATTGCCTCTTTTGCTGAGTATAGAGAATGAGAATGCTTGTAAAGTCACTCAAATCAGGACACTGATCCCACCAAGAGCTAAGTGTACAAATTGTAAGTAACTTAGATGACTGAAACCAGACTGACTTCATTTGGAACTTTGGCTCTTGAGATCTCAGGTCTTATCTCACAGTTGTTCTTAGCAGGTACTTCTAGTCTAGCCATTGGCTCAGTTTTTAAAACATATTGTCAACATGTTGAGGCAGAGTAACAGTTTTCCATTTCACAAATTTCTGGGATTAAAGTGAAGGATGTGTCTGGAAGTAATTTTCATCTACCTTGTAGTGCTCGGGAGTAGCTTTGTTCCATTATTTTAAAGAAGAAACAAGGAAACTGACCCTAACTTTTTAATTGTCAGGAGATGTATTTGTCAGAATGAGTTATAAAATGTAGAGAGTTCTTGCAATAAAATAGGAGGGTAAGTTCATGTAATATATATGAAGTTGACTGATTTTTATCTGGAAGATTTTTAAGGAAATGAGTATAAATAGGAATATGAGTGAATATTCTTGTTTATTCTAGGAGGGATAAAGCACCAGAAGTTCATACAACAATGTAAGAGTATCAGTGAGGAAGTAAATGACAAATCACCAGCACCTACTCATTTTGGCGTAGCCTCTGAAAAAGAAATACTCCAGTTATGTGTAGGAGAAAGAACAAAAAAACATGGAAGTCTGAAAATGGCTTCAATGTCTCTCTCTCCTGATCAAGCTAAATATAAAATAGGAACAGAGATTTTTCAGCAACCTGATTCAAATTTCTCACAGACTAAAATATTAACTAATTTTCCAGAAATTGGTGATGATGAGAGTGTTCATTCAACATTTCGAAAAAGGTATGTTTGTAGTCAATTCTGTTAATTCAGCAATTGTATGATTGTTTGAGGTCTATTTCTCAAATGCAGAGTTTTTGATCCTCTGCGTACTTCAGTAGGGCTCCAGACATTAAATCCTTTCAGAGTAAAGAAAAAAGAAGTTTCCTTATGGCAGTTTTTTAGTACTGTAATTAAATGTGTCCTGAGTTCAGGCTCTTTTATGAGGAAGGTAAGTATGCTGTTGTTTTTTTAATGTTAATAATTTTTTAGATAGGACAGGTTATTGAAAATACCATTTCTAGTTCATTATCTATTGTGAAGAGCAAGAGAGGAATATCCTTAGCAGTTCACAGCATGATTTCAGTGCTGCCTAGGAGATGAGGTTTTACAGATAAGCACCTCTCCTATGTCCAGTTCTCAGTCCTTGAACCTTGTATCTCTCTCTCTCTCTCTTTCTCTCTCTCTCTCTCTCTTTTTTGATTATGCAGAGATTGGCAATTAATATACTATTGGGATTCAGAATGCATCTGGACAAGGAGTTCACTTTTTTGGGGGGGTTCTTTCTGGAATGAAATTAGGGTTAAAATGTACCTTGAAAGGAGTTTTCTTCATGTAGAGGAATGTCAGTTCCAATAAAACTAGATACAAACTTTTCTTATTATTGTAACATTTTAGTTGTGTTTCTAACATAAATGTGCTTATTTTTCAAATATTGGAGAAACTATTTAACATACAACAAAGTAATGAAAATCCTACATCTTTTGCAGCTTATTTAAAATGCCTGATTGTATGTATAAAAACACAGAATTTAAAGATAGTTCAATGGATATGGAAGAATTTGATACTCACTTTAATACAAGTGAAAGCATGACAGAAGTGAAAAAAAATGCATGGAGAGAAAATAATCAGCCTCCATTAACTACAGACTCAGGTTTTACCCTACATAGGGTAAATGATGGGGACATGGCATCTAAAATTGGAATTAAAATAAAATCGTTGGCCAGTGCTTCAAAGATTCTGGATATGACAGGTAATTATTATTGTTCTAGTGAAAGTAGAAAGAGAGATTTGGAGGCTGGCCAGGAATGGCTTCCTGTCTGATTGCCTGCCGTGCTGACACTTGTCTAGTATGAGAGGATGAGATGAGAGCACTGCATGTCATTGAGTTCAGCAAGGGTTTTTGTGGGATCTGAGAGTAGCTGAGGAACACTGTTTGCTGCAATGGTTTTGTATCTAAGTCAGGATATTAAGGTCTGAATGAGTTACAAGTCTGTTACAAATGTGTTATAAAATGGTTGGCTGAGAGAGGCAGTTTAGTGGGTTGTGTTCTACTCATGTGCCTGCCTCAAGTGGCGAAGCAGGGCTTTGTCCTGGCACTTGGGCTGCCCGACACCCCTCTCAGTGACCTGGGGAAGTGGTGCAGTGGGCTTGAAGAATTATTAATGTCATCAAACTGGGGGCTGAACACCAGTGAGCACACCTGAGAGCCGGGCTGCTCTGAAGAGAGACTCATCCATGGAGGAGGAACCAGCAGGGACCTGGTGAAATTCAGTAGGGTCAAATGCCAAATCCTGCAGGAAGGAGGAATCCCTGAAGTTCCTGTGGAATGGGCTGACTAGGAGAAAAAAAAAAAAAAAGTCAGGAAGCTGGATAAAGTGATTATCCCCTTCTTCTCAGCACTTTTGCATGGCTTTTAACTCACTTCTCAGGTGTATGGGTACTGCATTCAGATTTAGCTCTCTGATACCAGCAAGACATCCTGGAACCAGAGTTCAGCAAAGGGCTACCAAAGTGATCCTTTCAGATGATAGGCTACTATCCTCCGTGTCCCGTCAGCTCCTTCTGTATCACCTGCTCCTTACAGCCTTGCAGCACCTCGCAAAATGCATAGGTTAGAGTCAGGATTTCATGGCTATTAGTTGAAAATAATGAAATCTGTTTTTATAAACTTATCTACTTTTATTTAGGAACTACAGGAAGAAACTTGGAAATTTTGAGGGCTGTTACAGAAATACGTATCTTTTATCTGTTGTATCTGGTCTACTGACCTACAGTGCTTCTATGTTTACAAAATTACAGTGTTTAATTTGCAGCCATAGGAACTCATGCATTACTCTGTAATAGTTTTGAACTGCAATGTAGTGCCAGGGGGAATCAAATGATGAATGGGTGTTTATGCCTGGGATTTCCTAAGCTAGAGTGAAAATAGGACAATTTATAATAAACATATTCATTGCTAAGCAAATTGGCTCTTATTTCAAACGTTCACATTTTATCCTCAAAGCAACTTATTTTTAAAATGAAAAATGTGAAATTTTTAGTTTGCAGAATATATTTTTAAGGCTACATTATATATGCTGACACACATAAACATACATAATCTCTAATACATTATATAAAGAAAAAAGTCAATTAGTATTTAGACTCATTAGGAAAAATGAATCCTACTTTTTACCCCAAATTCTCAAGAGAAAACAGGTTTTAGATGTGAGGGCTGCTTTGAAAGCAAAGCCTCCTGTTTTATGATGTTGGCCCATGATGTCAGAGGTGCATATTGGTGGTGTCGCAGCAGAGGCTGATCCTTCCCACCAATATTGTTTCAGTTTGTTGCTGTATGACAGATGGAGCAGAGGGCAGTCTGAGAGGATGACCTTCCATGTGGAAGTGTGTGTGAAGCAAAGGTGTATTGTTGAATGTTTCCATATGGAAAAAATTGAACCTTTGAAATTCACTAATGCTAGCTGAATGTGTATGGAAACCACACAGTGGATGTGAGCACAGTGAGGTGGTGGGTGCTGCATTTCAGCAGTGGCAACAACAGTTATCTCCACTGGTGCAGACTTTTACAAGCGTGGCATGCAGGCTCTTGTTTTTGGCTGGCAAAAATGCACAGCTAATGGTGGCGTATATGTTGAAAAACAGTATTTTGTAGCTTTTGCTCAGTCAGGTGGTATTATCACGCTCTTTTTTTTCTGTGGAAATAAATAGAAGGCATTACTTTCAGAGAGACCAGCATTCTTCTTACAGATCATTGGTCTTGTACAGATATTTGGTCTTGTATGCATATGGTATATTTCCATTCATTAATTTTAAGCAGATTTTATGCTAATTCTTCTTCTTTTTCTTATTCCTGCTTTGAATCCATAACATAAGTAATCATCCATTGGCATAACAAACTGGTGTGGGTTTTTTTTTGCATTTTTCACTCTTAAATGTTTTGTTGCTAGTAAGATATCAAATGATAGGCTAAATATCATGAAGATTAAATGGCTACATTAAGGCCACTAAATTCACCTGAACAGTTAGAGAGTTGACATAGTATCCCAAACAAATAGCTATTCAGTAGTTCTGATGCTTCCTGTTACAGATAGTCGATGCTTATCCTTTTGAAAACGGGTCATTTATTTAGGGGAGTAATTTTAGAGAAGTCTTTAAAAGAAATCTTTGTCTTTTTTTAATTATTATTTAATTATTTTCTTGTTTTAATCCTTCCTTTTTCTTTACCTTTTAATTGAATCTTTTAAAATGAATGTAACATTCATCTAAGTCCTCAGCTGTTCATTGTTAGTGTTGCTGCTGGTGTTACATCCAGCTGTATTTGCATCCACCTGCAGCCTGATCAGATGGTTGTGGTTAGACTGCTCCTGTGGCTTCAGTGCAAGTCCAGGCAAGGATCAACTTGCTTATTTGGATCTATTATGAAACCACGCTCTCCTTCCTCTTGCTTGTATTATAAATAAAAACATATTTGTCTGAAAAATACATAATATTAGCCATTGAAAATACCTTTAAAACCACCATTAGCATTAAGATATCATAGGTAGACTTCTTTACAGCTGGGCATACAATACTGTGCTTGTTAACTTCTGCTACGTAACAAACAATGTGGCATTTGACACTGCAGGTATTTTAACAGCAGAGCTCTGCTTGCTCTTTTAAATGCTTTCACATGACATAATTGCATGCAATTCTATGAAGCTTCTATGGAGGAGGTTCTTGATTTATAGTATAATCCTGAGATCTGTCAGGTACTGCGTTTATTTTCTTTAAGTGAAATATTTGGTATACCAAGAATCTAAACAAAGCTACTAAATCATTTACTGAGTTCCTTTTTGATAATTGTGATGTATTTTAGACTTGAATTTAAATTGCAAGGAAAGCCTTCGTTTCACAATTTTAAAAGAAATGTTAAACTTTTCATTCTGTTGTTTTCAATTCCTTAATGCTCTCAAGCAACCCAATTTAGGTGTATTTTTAAGGAGTTTCCATACTTTAACTATGCACAGTCTAAAGCTTTGGATGATGTAAGTATGAAACATTAGCTGCAACTGTAAGTAGTACTTTGCAGATAAGCATATTTCATAAATGTAAATGACATTTTAATATTCAAAACTGAAAAGGAAATCGAAAGCTACAAGATATCTCGAATATCTTCCTGAAATAGTTAAGCAGGATTCTGCTCAGTGTGTAGTTACACAGATTGCTAATGGTTTCAAATGGTTTTCAAAGGAGAATTAAGGATAATTTTAGTGAAGGATGATTATTTGGGAAAGTGCCTTTTACCCATCCTTTATTCTTATCAAATATGCTTTTTTAAAAGCAAACAAACAACTTGAGATTGTGAGGTATTGCAGAGAGGGGAAATCAGTCTTAGCAGTCTCTAAAAGCATTTAAAAATTTTATCCAACTCTAAATACCAGCGTCATTCATCACAACTTCTAAGCATGATTTTTTAAGCTACTAGCATTTTTGTGCTTGTCACTGAATGGTAGACTTGCATAATAACCTTAGAGAAGCAATATTTTTCTTGTTTGTGTGGCAGGTGTATAGCAAATATATTTATTTTGCTCTAATTTAAGCTTTGCATCTCATACAAAATTCACTATGGAACTATGTATATCAGTGTAATATTTGTGTGTGTGTGTCCTTTTCACCTAGGCAATTCTTTTGGTATGTGTGAATAGGCACAATAGCTATATGTTATATTTACTGCTATGCCATTCTTTCCCAGCTTCTTTATACAGATAGAAATTTTGTGATTTGTGCTCCAACTGGCTCTGGAAAAACTGTAATGTTCGAACTAGCTATAACCAGATTACTTATGGAAGTCCCAATGCCTTGGTTAAATATTAAAGTTGTTTATAGTAAGTATTATGCAGCTTTAAGCATTTTGATGACAGCAGTAGAAAATTTCATTCTATGAGTGTGGAGGCATAGATCAAGTGCTTTAATAATACTCAAATTATATAAGTAACAGTAGTGTATAAATATAGTGACCACCATAGCTTAATACAGATAAAAATAAAAATCCTGTAAAGAATTTGCTCTCTAACAAGGAAGATGAAAAGGAGAGAATGAGGCAAACAAAACTAAGCCAAATTCTTGTGGGCAGAGCCAGAATTTAAGCAGTATCTTTTGTGTGCCTGTCTGCTGCTTTAAGAGAATCATTTTTCTACATTTGCTTATCCGGAAAGGTTTCATACTATTGCTTTCTGTCTATTCTTTCTGTTGCTCAAAGGCAACAGAGCCATGGTTCTTGTGAGTTTTAACTGATCTATATAGAAATTAAAGAATGCTTGAAGATAGTCACATTTGGAGACTTTTCTCCTTTCTGGTCAACTCAGTGTGTATCATGTAAAGCGGATGGGATTGGTCATTTTGTCCCAGTGTTCATACAGGGATATATTTATCAGCCTTGGTATTAATGGTTGATCTTTATATTTTCAAAAGTTTCTGCCCTGTTTGTAACTTTATTTATTTATTTATTTCAGTGAGTTCAAATTCTTCAAATGCTGGTTTTGATACAGTGTATTGTAAACTGCTCTTTTTGTAAAAAGACGTGTTGTAGTTTCTCTGTGAGCAGGTTAAGGCTGAGAACTTCACTGTGCTGTAAGGATTTTGATTACTTTGATAGAACTGATACAAACCATCTGGTAGGAATTTTCACCAAGGAACTGCTGGTAGAATCAGACCTGAGATTTCCAGGTTTAATGATGGATGAGATGTGTCAGTTTTGTGAATATTGAAGCAGGGATATTAATCAGAGTATGTATAGAGTTCTGCAGTGCTTAGCTTATCGGTGGCCCAGTGTATGTGAATTAGTTCACGGTAGTTGTGTAAATTAGTATATGTATAAGCTATATGGATAAACAACTTTAAGAACTGCTGGCTGAATTTTAGAGAGCTGTGTTAGCTGGTATGACACTGTCTACGCTTACATATACATGTAGTTTAGATAGACTTTGGTTTCTTGTAGGATTCTGTTGTTTCTGAATGGTTTTTCATATGTAACTCCCCTTTCTCTCTGAGTATAAAGTGCTCACATCATTCTAAATAGGAATAAGGTTGGTATTTGTATGATCTCTCATTAGAAAAGATATTTGCTTCGGTTTCTTCTGTCCATGAGTGGACACTTTGATGACTGAGTGATTCTTTCCATGTGGGACTGAGGAAGAAATCAGGATTAAAAGAGGGCATAAATGACCTTAATTAAAGGATTCTGCTTTCAATTGTTCATAGGGAAGAACTGTGGCCTAAAGCTCAAAATTGATCTATGCACAAGGAGTATGATAATCTGTTGTTAATGTTATGGATTTGAGAACAAAACTGAAAATTAGAGAATTTATGAACACATCTGCACTTAAAATTTGTATCAGTATTGTTGAAGATCTGGTGTTCAAGATGTAACTGATCATTTCATGTTATTTTTAGTGGCTCCAATAAAAGCTCTATGCAGTCAACGTTTTGATGATTGGAAAGAAAAATTTGGACCCATAGGACTCAGCTGCAAGGAACTGACAGGAGATACAGTGGTGGACGATTTATTTGAAATACATCATGCTCATATTATTATCACTACACCTGTAGGTTTCATTTCAAATTCTTACAGAAACAGAATAAGCAGATTTAGTGGTCTACCAATCATATGCTGCCAGGTCTGCTTTTCATTTTCTTCAACGAGTAGCAATTTTCAGAACAATGTTATGATCTTTATAGTTGTCTGTAAACTGCTGTTGCATGCTTTTGCTTCTTATAAACAGCAAATATAATAGTGTATCAGATGAAACCTACATGATAGGTTAGCTTGGCTTTATTTAGCAGATTTTATTTAAAGATGTGTTAAAGGTTAGGCGTGCCTACATGTACTCTATTTCAGGCATATGTTTGTCTTTTAAACATCTTTTTCCTCTTGACTTTCTGTCTCCTAGGAAAAATGGGATAGCATGACTAGGAGGTGGAAAGACAACTCTATAGTTCAGCTTGTGCGACTGTTCCTCATAGATGAGGCAAGAAAATTAATGATTCTATATGCTCTTTTTCTTCTTGAAGATGAAAGGAAAACTCTTAGAAAGTAAAACATTTAACGCACTTCTGGAGTATAACTGGAGAAATATTTTGCAAATGTTTTTTGAAATTCCTGATAGGTGCATGTTATAAAGGATGAAAGCCGTGGTGCAACGTTGGAAGTTGTAGTCAGTCGGATGAAAACTGTTCAGTCTTCTCTTTGGCGTCTTTCAGAGAATCGCCATGTTCCTCCTTTGAGATTTGTAGCTGTTTCTGCAACAATTCCAAACGCTGAAGATGTAAGAGTTGCATTTTAACTGCATTTGAATTAATATAAAGTAGAGTTCTACGTAAAGATTGAATAACACAGTTGTCATTTTGAAGCTGTCAGCTGATGGCAGCTACATGTTTGATGTTATCATAAGAAGTGGTTTTCAGTCATAGAGAACTATCAGCCAAAAGTGGCTATGCTTTTGTTTTAGATAACTGGGATTTTTTATCCTTAATACTTTGATATCTAAACAGACTTGAGATTACAGTCCAAATTATACTGGTCTAGTAGAACTTCACCTATGATTTTAATGGTGAGAGCACTGTGCAGTGTAGTAGTAGTTTGTGTGATAAAGAGAAAATTAATTATTGTGTAATGCAGGTAAAGCATGATTGAAAACAGAAAATGATTATTTAAATTATTTTTCTTCTTTTTCAAAGATTGCAGAATGGCTTTCAGATGGGAAGATCCCTGCTGTATGTCAGAAAGTAGATGAGGATCAACGACCAGTGAAGCTACGCAAAATTGTTCTTGGTTTTCCTTGTAGTGGCAGTCTGACAGAATTCAAATTTGACTTAACTCTGAACTACAAAATAGCTAGTGTTATACAAGCATATTCTGATCAAAAACCAGTACTGGTGGTATGAGTTGGTTTTTAGTTACATTTGAAATTGTTTCTTACTCACAAGTGTTGATTTAAAAAATAAAATTTTTCTTACTTACAGTTCTGTGCCACAAGAAAAGGAGTGCAGCAAGCCGCTTCTGTTCTTTCAAAAGATGCCAAATTTCTACTGAGTGTAGAGCAGAAACAGAGGTATTTTTATATTTAAGTTTTTGATCTATGTTTCTGTGTTCTAGTAAACTTACAACATTTGCAAAGATGTTGACCTAATACATCTTCTAGCAGAGGAGTATCTGCAACAAAGTCATCACAACTGAGATTTCTGTTGCTAAACTGGCACTCTTTTGGGGATGTTTTGTTTGTTAAGTTGTTTCTAAAAACTTGTTTTTGCAACATAAAATGTTAATCTCCATGGACCTGTAAGATCTTGCATTATGAAGATTAAGTATACAAGTGATTTTACTAGTGCATTAAGTTAAGCTCATGAGAAGTCTATGCATTATCAGATACCTTTAATAAATGTATATTAATCATCAACTTCACAACTGCAGAAACTACTTCCTGATTTTTGGAATCCAACTGTTGCCCTCTCCATGTTACGCAAGCAATACATCTCTATTGCTTTTCTTGTTTCTCACATTTCTGCCAACCCTATCTATATTTTATTTCACTTTCTGCGTCTCAGTCAGAGAGCAATATTCTGTGTTGCATCCTGGAAAGATAACTGGGCTGGAAAGGGTGCAGCAGCTGTTCCAAGGAATCATTTTGTTTGCTTTGGGAAAAGTGGAGATTGAAAGTATGCTAAAAATGTATGGTTAAGAAGTTTTATTTTAAGACAATATCCTTTTGGTAGTATAAAATGTGGTCATAAGATAAGAACATATTTAAGAAATGCAAATACAGTAGTACTATGAGAAAGTATGTAAAAAGATGTACTTGCAAGGAGTGCCTCTTATAATCTTTAAAGGTGCGACTGTATATCTAGTTTTATGTGAAGCTCTGTCTTTGCATGCAGACATTAATGAATCTGTTTTGTGATTTATTTATTCTTTGTGCAGGTTACAGAAGTCTGCCAATTCATTGAAAGATTCCAAGCTCAGAGGTAAGTATAACCTACTACTTCTCTACCTTGTGAATGAATATTTGCATGAGTAAACTTAAAAAAGGTAATGGGTGTAATTATTACATTATCAGATCTTTTAATGTATGGTGTGGCTTATCATCATGCGGGTATGGAGCTTTCTGACAGAAAAATAATTGAAGGAGTTTTTACCGCAGGAGATTTACCCGTACTTTGTAAGTAAATTTAAATTTGAAAGTCAAAATGTTCTTAATGTATTCTGAAAAGATGGGACTTTGGAATTGGTAACATTTTATGATTCTGGTGTTTCTGTTTAACCTTAGGAATTCTTTTTAGTAGAATGCAGGTCAAGATGCTTTTGTATTTCATGTATGCTTTGGCTTGTTGAGTATACATATTACTAAAATATACATATATTACTAAAATCCAGAGAACTTCTTGTCTGCGTACACAGAGGTCATCCTCCTTGATATGTTGGTACAGGGCTGGCTCATATTTCTTTCCTTTTTGTTCAGATGAGCAATCCTGTTGAGATGCAGTTCTCTGCTAATGTTTCCTTTCTCAGCTTACATATGATATTTTCTTGTCTTGTGTTTTGTAGCCATGGGTTCCCTAAACAGGAGGTTGCTATGAAATATGTAAAATGAAAAGGTATCTGTTTGAGACATGATAGTCTTGTTCAGGTTTCCTCTTTTCATATCCAGGAGTTCAGACCCTATGAAAATTGACCGTGTTGCTTATGTACAACAGTGAAAACTGTGTGGGTTTTTCAATTCTGTACAATAGTCTTGTTTCACTATTAAATGTTAAAGTAGACCCCTTGCTATGATCTAGCAAAACTTACAGGAGTGCAATTCCTGAAATCTCAGTAGTTCAAAAATTGCTCTTTGCAATGAAAACTAGAGACCCTGTGCCACAGCTTGAATGTAGTGTGAATGCACATATGGACTACCATTAAAAGAATGCAAAGTTGCTTGATATGTCTGAGAGCATTTCTTTTGCTACCATGAACACAAATAATACTGATGATGGATGACTTGAAACAAAACTCTTAAAGATATTGATTGTGAAGAACTACAGATGATATTTCCTCAACGTTTGTGTTTTACTGAAGATAGATTGTGTTCTGGATTATTTGAAAACATTCCTTAACATTTGCAGATAACCCAGAGTATATATTCTGTTAATTAATATTTACTTTTAAACATATATATATATATATATATATATAAAGAAATCTCGATAATACTTGACAATCAGGTACAGAATTCTTATGCAAATATGTGTCAGTATCCTAGATCTAATTCTAGTGTGTAATGGTCCTGATTTTCACTGGTTACACTATAAAATACGAGCTCTTCATGATGAAAATTAGGTGCTTATTTGTTTAATGTCTGTGTAACGTTTCAGTGGTGTTCATCCTGATGTCAATATACTTTGATCTGGTCTAGTTACTACTAGCACCTTAGCTATGGGAGTCAATCTGCCTGCACATCTAGTGGTTATAAAATCCACAATGCACTATGTTGGAGGAGTGTTTGAAGAGTACAGTGAAACTGATATTCTGCAAATGATTGGGAGAGCAGGAAGGCCTCAAGTAAGTTAATGCTGTGTTACAGCAATTCTTTATAAAGGCAGATAAGTAGAAACTATACGTGGCAAAGAAACAATTCCAAAACTTTCATTGCAGCATTTTTTTTTTTTTTCAAGTTTTGTTGTTAATAGTTGATGAGAAATAAATGTTTGATTTTGTATTATCTGTTAAAAAACATTGTTTCACCTTGCTGTAGTAAAAGATGCAAAGATTGCATTTGAATTGTGTAGGGATTGGAGAGCAATTAGGAAGCTGGCACACAATTTTCAGATTGCGTGATAAAAATATCTGAAACATTTAATTGCATACATTGCAATGTACTTCTCATGACTTCATAATGAGAAAACATTGAGTTAGAAGATGACTTAGAGAGGAGCAGTTTGGAAACGCTACCTTCACAATATCCCAATTCATTTTGCTCCCACAAGAGGAGGGCAGGGTGGTTGTTGGGTTTGTTTAGTTGATTTATGTATTTATTTTTGCAGTTTGACACAATGGCTACAGCAGTAATTATGACTCGTTTGAGTACAAGGGAGAAGTATATACAGATGTTAAATGGTGCAGATATAATAGAGAGCAGGTAATTAATTTTTCATAAAATTAAATAGATGGCACAACATTTCATATTTTCTACAGAATGTATTTTCTCTGAATTTTTTCCTCTATTTAGAAGAAATTTAAGGACCCGAAAGAAAGAAAGAAAACTAGAAAGCTAGTCAGAGGTAACAGCCTCTGTTTTAATAGATAAAAATATATTTTAGGTCATCTTGAAGTTAGCCCTAGATTCCTGCTGGAAAACTTAAGAAAACAAAACTATATATATTACAAAGATGAACAGCAAGAGCTGAAGCCAGATCATGTAGCTGAATTTTTAGACAATCGAGCTTAGAAAATAGCAGGCTACAGAGTCCAATTGAGATGAATGAAATATCAGGAGAGACGTGTATACCAAAGTTAACATGCTAACCCTAACTCTGAAACACAAAATTTTAGTCACAGGTGTTTGGGTTTTTAAACCTCAAGTTTAATTTTTCAAATATGTTCTAAATAACAATACTGTGCTGTAGCAGATGTATGTAGGTTTTTTTCTAAACAATTATGAAAACTCATAGTTCCCAAGATTATTATTTTTGTTCTCTGGATGTTAAGCCACATTGTGAATTTACATAATTGATTGTTTACTTTTTAAAACTATTTCCTATTAATTTCGCTGATTAAAATGAATAGTTTACAGTAAGCAAAAAAAAAAAAAAAAATTGTCTTTTTTTTTTTGTATTACTAATTGATAAATATACTTACAGAGATTTTTTTTTGTTGTTGTTTCTTTGGTTTTGACAGCTTGCACAAACACCTTGTGGAGCATTTAAATGCAGAAATCGCGTTACATACTGTCACAGATGTCACTGTAGCTTTGGAATGGATACGATCAACATTCTTGTACATTAGAGCTTTAAAAAATCCAACTCATTATGGTTTGTTTGTTTGCAGATGTTCTAAATTTTGGCATTGCTCTGTGTTAAATCAGTATTATTTGTTCCTTTTGTTTTCTTACGGGCCATTGTTTTGTGAGGAGTTGAAAACTAGTTGTGTAATGTGGTCCATAACACTTCATGGAAAAGTAATTTTATTTGCATTAATACAAATAGTAGGAATTTCAGTGTGATATAATGTTAAAAACTATGAAGAAGCCATTTACAGCTTCATAGTGATCTATTTTTTCATCCTAATACACTCAGCCATGTATACATACAGTATCTATTCATAATGTGCTTTTCAGCACTGAATAGGTAGTCTATAGCTATGAAAAAGACTCTAGCATTTCATATTTTTGCTAAAGCAAAATTTTAATATGTTCTTTTCTTCAATTTGTCTTGTCCAGAGCAGCATCTTAATTGCCAGCCATGACCATATCCTTGTTATTGATACCTGTGCTACATCCAATTATGAAGTGGTTATTCACTTGCTGAAAACAACTTAAAAAGAAAAAAAGAATTTAATGGAATAGACCATAGTGTATGTGCTACTTGAACAAGTATTACAGTTTAGGAAGGTTCCTGTGTTCTACAATAGGAAGATTCCATATGTGAATTTGGCACTCTGCTGATGTTTACAGATGTTTCTACAACTGTTAGGACTCTGATGTGTGTCTCAGAGGAGCATGTAGAGCGTTAATCCTTTTGTATCTGTTCTAACAAACACTTGCTGAAACTTGGATGCTGTTTGAGACTTTTTATTTGTTCCTGGAGTAATAGAAACATTTAGCAATTCTTCATTTCGGCCATCTAGCTCCTAAAAATTAGGAACATGTTTTTGATTGGTTATGATGTTAAGGAGGAAGTATATAATTGTATTCATTTTTTAAAAAGAGATTGTTGTTTCTTGAAGGTTTTTCATCTGGATTGGATAAAATTGGAATCGAAGCAAAATTACAAGGTAAGTACCTTATCAGCTTTCTCAGTAAAATGTTATGTTTTAGGCCAGGTTCTTCCATGTTAGGTAACTTTATTATTTCAATAGATTCAATCAGAGAACAAATATATTTTACTATGTTGTGCTGTTTTATTATTTAATTATTAACACTTTGGAATACAATCAGCATGTTTTGATTGCTAGAAAAGTACTTCATCTTTCTATATATGTTCTCAGAAATTAGACTACATGTTGAGCTCTCTAATTTTGATTGCTTGTCATTCTTTCTAATTTTCCTTTAATTTATATTTCTGATTTCCCTTTATTAATTTCTGCTTATATACTTTCAAAAAGCCCTTTCAACGAATTATCTTCCCCTATTCTAGCTTCTGTAGCTTCTTCTCCCTGTATACATGAAATATGCTGTAATAATTTCCATAGTTATTGATGTTCTCATACATTGCATGTACAAAGTGAAATACTTCCGGTTGCTCTGGGAATTTTGAATGCTTTCACAGCTTGTTTTTATTTTGAATACCGTGTTAATGTTTTCTTGGCTTCGAAAGAGAGAAAAGCAAACAAAACACTTTGATCAGCCTCCTGCAGATATCCAATACAAGAAAATAAGTAGATTTACTGAAGTAAATATGAATTCACCTGATACAGCATGGAACATTTTCGTGAAGGGTTCTTAAATACCTGTGGATAATTGAAATTTCTGCCATTTGAGTGTTCAAACTTAAGGGGAAATCATTTGTGTAAATACCGTGAATTTTCCGGCTTGTCATTTGGTATTGAAAATGGTAGCTTGTGTTCCACGTATCCAGTCTTTTAGTTTGCTACATTTGCTTTACTGAAAAAGAGTTGAATTGTGCTATGTCAGATATCTTTGAGTAAGCTTCCCTCAGGTGAAAGTTTGTCATCAGCATAAGAACTTTATTTGAATTCAGTGGAATTCCTTTGATATATATTTATTGTAATTGGATGATATTGTTCTTGACTTGTAGGTAAGGTAAGTTTTTTCAGTATGTGCTAAAAATACATATATTTTCAAATTGTGGACAGAACTCTGTTTGAAGAACTTGAATGATTTGTCATCTTTCAATTTGATCAGGATGGATAAAGAAAATAATTTCAAGACAACAGGTAACACTTTTCAAAAAAAAAAAATTAAATTTCAGAAGGAATGTTGAGATAATGAACTACAGAAGTTCACAGCTATTCCTGTGAACCTTTAATACGAGTACACAAATGTTGCAGAGAGTAGAATCTAAAAAATTCTCTGCCTAGAATTATGTGATTTGTTTTTCCAGCAAATCATGGGAGTTCATTCTCTTAAACCCTGAACATGTCTTCTCTTTTAATGTCACAGAAAATTTTGTTGCAGATAGGAGAAAATCATAGAATATTATCACAGTATAATGGGGTATAACAAAATCCAGTGAAGAAGAGGGTTTCTGGCTACCAGTTCTTCTCTACAATCCTCTAGTAGGAGCGGTTGGCTTCTCAGCAACTGCAGTTCACAGTCTGATATATTAGTGTGAATTAATCTTCACTGTAGAAAACTAAATGGTGCATATTTTTCTGCCTCTGTGACAGGGTCAGTAATATCCATCACACAGCATATTGAGTCTGTGGTGTTAAGTGTCAGAGAGCTTTCTAATAAGAAAATAAATTCATTTTTGTGACTTAAAAAATGCATACACTGAAAAAAAAATACTTGGCATATGAATTTTTGAAGGTCTGTTCTTCTTTTACAGAGACCGGAAGATTAATGGCATGGTATTATATTGCATTTGATACAGTAAAGCAGTTTTTCAGAATTAAAGGAACCGAAACTTTGAAGGAATTGGTAATTTTAATCAAAATTTACAGATGTTCAATTGATTTTAAACAGAAACAAAAAATAAGATTCAGAATTTTTTTTATGTCTTCCAGAAAGTTTGGGCTTTGTTAACATGATGTATAAAATTTTAGAGAATACGTCTAAATAAATTCTACATGGAGCACTCTTGAGTCTTTTTAGTTGGGAGATCTTTTGACTTCCACTTCTTTCTTTCCATCATTATCCTTTCTTAGGAAAATTTGAAGTTGCCAATGCTGTTCTGCTTATGTAAAAAATACTTTGAGTTATTTAGTTATCTATATTTTATTGTAAATACTAGCTGTATGAAGAGCAGCTTCTATTTTTAAAGAAATGTTATTGTCTTTCTAAGTCATTTTCCACTTCAGTTAGCAAGTTATTATTGCAACAATTATGTTACAAAAGACATTTTGTTTTCAAACAAATCTTGTGGTAGAACAGATTGGCCATGAATGAATTGAATGCCTTTTCCCTTACAGCTGTTTTTGTTACTAAGGGATAAAAAAAGTAAAGTGAAATAAATAAGAAATAGAAAAAAACTATTTATATTTACCTTGCATGTCATAAAGTCTTGGCAATGTGTTTGGTCTTGGATAAGCTCAAGTAGAATAATCATCTGAAAACTGAAAAATCTTCCCCTTCTTTTTTCTATAACCTTTATAGAAAAAAGATAAGAAAAAAGTTAAATTGTTACAGGTTACAATGATCTCCAGCTGCACAGAATTTCTAGATGTCAAGTTAAGAACAAATGAGAAGAAAACACTGAATGCTTTGAATAAAGACAAGGACAAAGTAACTATCAGGTATTAAAAATTATATACATAGAAAGAGTTAAGTTTGCTTTTAGCAACAAAAGCTATGAATAATTAACAATAAGTATATTTTCACGTTTAGGTTTCCAATGGAGGGGAGGATTAAAACAAGAGAAATGAAAGTAAACTGGTAAGTATTGCACTGTGATTACATTTTAATGAAAAGTTTTCATTTTGTCTGTTGAAATGCCTGCTACAGTGTGTCATTTCATAATGAACCAGATCTTTTATTTTACTCTTCCAAATATTCTTGTGTTTTCCAGTAGAAACTTCTATGTTGTTACATGTAGCTTAGAGTAGAGCTTATGTACCAAGACATAAATATTTCTTTTCCAGTCTTATTCAGGCTCACCTAGGATGCATTCCTGTTCAAGACTTTACTTTGACACAAGATACTGGCAAAATATTTAGAAATGGCATAAGAGTTACTAGATGTATGGTAAAATTTAATCCTTTTCTATACATATAATAACTAAAAATATATATTGGTTGATTAATACATAGTAAATTTTATTTTTACAGGGTTATCTGACTTTTTGGCATCAAGTAAAGACAACTTTTCTGCATTATTAAATTCTTTGATTTTAGCTAAGTGTTTCAGGTGCAGACTTTGGGAAAATTCACTTCACGTGTCTAAGCAATTGGAAAAAATTGGTATGTACTTGTCAGAAATGATGTAAGGTGTAGAGTGAAACAGCCTTAAAACTTACAATTTCTGTAGTGACTGTTTACATAATTAAATATTTCTCCCAATTGCCTGTTTGCCTACAGGTAAGTACCAAAGTTATTACAAGGTTGTTGTTACCTTCTTGGATAGAAATAGTTCATGTATTGATATTATTCATGCTTTCAGAATGTTGTTTCTTAATGTTAATCTCCATATTTTGAACAAATTCCACATGTGTATAATTGCATACCTCTCAGTGGACTATAACTTTCTGTCTAAAAAGTTGTCTGTGTCTGTCCTATTACTCATATGCATGGAAACCACTTAAGTGGCATTGAGATGGATAGGAATCATAAAATAGAAATAATTTTATAGTGCATAAGGTTCTTATACGTTCTCAAGCTTCTGATGGTGTTCTTCCTTATCGTCGTGTTGTATTACTAGATAAACTTCTGTTTGGGAATTCTGGTTTGTTTTAATTACTTGAAAGGGAATTCAGAAATGTTGAAGCTCTTGAACAAAAATGTATGTATGCTTGATATAATAGTGTATCTTCCTGCCATATTGTGTGATGTTTTCATGCTTTCAGAATTCACTGCAGTTCTCTGTGTTTGTTATTTAAAGACACATCTACTCTATATGAAACAGTATAGTACAGAGGTCTGCCTATTAAACCAGGAAATCTGTATGGTACAGTGCATGAAAAATTTAACAGCTCATGTGCGGAAGCAGTATTGCTTCGTTCATGTGGATTTAAGCTAGGAGATTAGGGCGTTAGCTTCTGTGGTGGTAACTCATTTCCACTGTTTCTGGATCTGCTAATGTACCAATCCAGGATTTTATCACCTATAGTGCTTATTCAGTTCTATTTCTGTCTCTTTTTTTTCTTTCTTCATTGGACATAAATTGGGGGAAAGACCCTTTTGTCATCTCTCCTGTCATTTATAGAAGCTCTGAAAACAGTCTGAAGACCAGGGATGTCACTTATTAGTTCTGCAGCTATTTCACCTATAGTGTCTTGTTTCTTTTAAGTAAAGCTGAAGACTAGTTCTTTTGTTATAGTTCCTGAAATGGTAGAAAGGTTTCCATTAATGAGAAGACGTAAGATACAAATGATATAAGACACTTTTTCCTCATCTGTATTTATGTCAACCCAAGAGATGTTCAAATATACTTAAAAGGAAGAAGAGATTAACAATTTAACAGTCCCTTATGTTTTTTGCAAACTGTGAAGATCTTGAGTTGAAATGAGTCATTTCTTGAAAGATTGCTTTAACGTGTCCTCCAAAAAGAAACCTAAGAGTCTCATGAGAAGTTTCCCACCTAATTTTCAGGTTTCTTTTACTGTTCCTATAGAATTATGCATGATGAATACATCTACTCATTCTAAGTATTTGGTACTGCTTTTTATCTAAACTATTTCAGTCATTGTGGTGGACTGTAGTTCTAGCTGAGAAAATGCCTTTTCATACATAGTGCATTGACTAAATCTGACTAAAAGTTTAAAAGAATGGAGAATCATGAAGAGGAATAAGGTTGCATGTAGAATTCCCTGCCAGTCTGCTTATCATGTAACGAGAAAATATTTTGCTAAACTTGCAACGATTCCTAAAAGATCATAATAAATATTTTTTCCTGGAGTTATTTTTATTATTAGTTTGCTTGAATGCGTTGAGATCCTTTTGACTTTAACATATAATTAAGGAATTCCTTGAATAGAATTACTTGTTTCAGAAATTTTATTTCATGTGAATGACATTCTCTTTTTTAATCATACATACACAGTATGCTTCGTTGTTGACTTGTAGAACCTGATCTAAAATCTGTCTTATACTAGAAAATGTGTATAACGTGTTGATTGCTCCTGTAGAAAGTGTTCTAACATGATTTTTATACTAGAGAATTTATACAAAACTTGTCATTATTATAATATTAAATGTTTTCATATTTGCTTTCCCTGCATTTCTTTTTCCCTTTACTGATGACAAGTGAATCTAATACTTAAATATTTAGTTGAGAAAAAGATGTTTGCTATTTGCTGGGCAAAAAGCTTTGGAAAAGCATACCATAAGATGTTTTCTGCTTTGTTTTTATTTGCTGTAATACAGTTAGAATAATTTGAGATTAGTAATTGTCATTTAACAACATAAAACTTTTTCACAGGTGTGTCGTTGTCAAATGCTATGGTAAATGCTGGGCTGACATCATTTAAAAAAATAGAAGACACAAATGCAAGGGAACTTGAATTGGTAAGTCTTTTTGTATGCAGATAAACATTAAGAAAATAATATATCTGCTGTATGAATGCCAGCAAAATTGAGCATTCAAAGTGATTTCTTCATTTATGCTAGTGAATTTTAAAAGTGCAGTTACTGTTTTCTTTTTTTTTTTTTTTCTTGAAAATGTGTATAATACTTTAGTTCAGGAAATTTAATATGACTGACTTTGTGGATTTGGCTAGTTTTGGAAAGTGGCTGCTTAAATACGTAGAATTTCATTATTAACATAATTAAAAACAAAAAAAAAAGGCAACACACATTCCCCTTCTAATAATATTTGTAAATATGTATTTCCTTCTGTTTTTAATGTTATTCTTAATTAATGTTAATGATGAAAATCCTGAATTTCCATTCTTGATATTTTAATCAAAGATAGTAATAGAATTAAATGCTGCTTGAATCATCTATAAAACATTCCTAATTCTAGACAAATTAGATTTCACACTAGAACAAGTTCTTAGGCTCTTGTCATCTTTTCTGAGGAAACTCCTTTTCCTGTGTTCTGGAACAGATTTCTAAATGAAATTTATCTTATTCAGTTATTTCTGTTCTAGCTTTAAGATTTTAATTTTTCTTTTCTACCCTTTTTTCAAGTTTTCCTTTCATTTCTGTTTTGTTTTCACTAAAGGTAGGGTAGCATAGAAGTGTCAGCACATAAAGTCTGCCTAATTCTTCAGCATGTAAGCTAGTTCTTTGGCTGATACCGAACAGAAGAGAGAGCACTGTGGGAAAAAATGTTGGAATTTTTTTTTTCTTTTGGCTATGTTGCTATTCTGGATATCACTGACAGTAGAGAACTAGGAGTGATTAGGGCTTTTGTTGATGGTATAATTACTCTGGTGACTTTGATCCCTTGAATTTACTTTTGCGTCAGCATTACTGATCTGAATTTATCAGAAATGAAACTAAATTTTTGCAGATTTTAAACAGACATCCTCCATTTGGAAACCAGATAAAAGAATCTGTTTTGCACCTTCCAAAATATGAACTTAACATTGAACAGGTATGGCTTGTCTATTTGTTTTATTGGGTTTTTTTTGCTGATATTATTAAATGGAAGTGCAAATGTTGCTGTTAAGAGATTCTAGCCCTCTCTGATAGTACACTGTACAATATCATGACCTCCTTTCACCTTAGCAAGTACAATGAAACTCAAAATCTGAAGGACAGATTTTGAATAAACATTCCCTCTAATACATTAACTTTGTTCCTCTCCCTTCCACTGTTAATAGCATTTTGTATTAGAGTTGCGAACCAATATATTCACATTCTAGCTTTATCTGTAAATATCTTAAATGTAATGCAAATACTTAAATATTTTTTCAAAACACTCCACCCAAGAGACAAAAAAATGACATTATAGTAAAAGTTATTGAACAAGCATTAGCTATATGTTGTCTCACTTAGCAACATATAGAAAGAGTAAGTGATTATATTAACCTAGCTGGGACCGTTTCAATCACAGAATCACAGAATCACAGAATGACCTGGGTTGGAGGGGACCTCAAGGATCATGTAGTTCCAAC